GCATATGAAATGAAACGAGATGACCAAAACAAAATTATACCTCTATTGATAAGATAAATTATTGTATGGTATACGGTTACAAGGTATAATTCATTCATGTGTTACAATATGGGTGGATATTATGGTTAAATTTTTCCACTTTCAGGATATGTATCAATAAATACTCACTTATATTACGACACGTGAAAAAGTTACAGTACAACATGAACGTACTCTAGTATCACAATATAATTACTTGATTAATACACCAAAGAAAGAAAACAAGAGTCAAAAATCAGGATCCACCCAATTCTATTTATTTTTTTTCAAGAGAACCTCGACGGAACGAAGAATTATAACAAGGGACTAAACGTCTAACCCCGACTCAAAGAATCACATTATTGGATGTCTTGAATAAGATTATTGGGAACCTAAAACCAAATAAAGTTATCCTTATTATGTAGACCAAATCGAGCAAGTCGATGTATAACACCATTATCTTTCTTATGAGTAAATTAAAAAAAAGAGAGGAATCTGTTTCTTTGGATCCAGCCAATTAGGGTCGCCAAAATAACTCAGTCCAGTTCAAGGAATCATGGGTCCACCCAATTGCCATTCATATGACCTAAGCAAAGCCCAAAACGCACATGTTCGAAACTTGCTAAGATAGACTTCAGATCCACCGCCCAAAAAAAAACACCGAAAGCTAAGATAGACGATGAAATATCCAGTGCATGCAACCACAGGGGATTGCTACTCAAAACGCCGCGTGGACGAGAAAGGTGCCAAATCTCTGACATCCACAGACATCACTACTGTAATTACGCGCGCTAAGATGCACCGCGAGAGAAAGAATCGTGTTCCTCCGACGCGCTCTAAAACCGCGTGCTATTACTTACTTTCTCTTTTGGATTTGTCGGTGCCGCAGACCGTAAGTGCTAAAGTAGTAAAAAATTGTCACTTTTGGACAAAGAACTTGATTTTTATTTTTATTTTTATTTTTCTAAAAAAGAATTCAGATATTTTTCATTGATTTTTACGTTTGGATCTGGAGGAGGAATGTTTATTATTTTATGATTTTGATCCACTTTGACTTTCGGACAAGAAAGAAGTTGTTTTTATTTTAAACGTGTTTAAAAACATGAGAGGGGGGACATTTCAAAATCACTAGTGATTTCTTTTCACAAGTCAGTATTTTTTTTTTTTAAATAAATATTTTCTAAAAGCCACAAGCCTCCAAGCACATGAAATTTTGATAAAAAAGAGTACCACAGATTTTGAAGAGTAAAATAATCAGACCAGTATTAATGTTGAAATTTGTTTATAAAGTCATATAATCATATTCCATTTGCGTAAAATTTTAACAAAGACAATTGTTTAGTTATAGGGTTAATTAATATCAGATCCCTAGTGGAAATGTCAAATTCATAAGACCGAGTTTACATTTGATGACTTGTGTTGTTAAAATTTTCTACTCCATTTAGCATTTTGAAAATAAATGAAATAATAAGAATAAAAAATTAAATGACAATTTCAACGACATATGGATGGATGCTTTTCAAATTTAAGTATAAGACTTGAAGTTTAGGGGCCGTTTAAAAATTATTTCAATTTTAGTTTTTAGCTTTCATTTTTTGGGCTAGTGTATAGAGGAAAATGAGAGTGAGAATGAGAGAGATGATGAGAGGGGAGGCTGGGAGGAAAGAGTAACAAAAGTGAAAATAATTTCTAATATATTTCAGTTTTTGTTTTCATTTTTGTTACTCATCCTTACCATCCTCCACTCTCATGTTCTTTCTCAATCTCATCTCCAATCTCATTCTCACTTTCAATATTCTTATTTTCCTCTATATTGTAGCACAAAAAATGAAAATAAAAAAATAAAATTGAAATGGTTATCATTGGACAATTCAAACGAAGATGCTCTATAAGCATTGAGAGGCGTCGTGCTTTAATATGAACATCTATTATCAAAATTTTAATAAATATTTTTTTATAGGGAAATTTGAATAAATCTGGTTAGTGAGGTTTCTTTCAACAATCATGATTCTCTTAGGCCCCCTGTTTGGTTCATGAAAAATGAGGCTTGGAGATGGGTAATCAATTGTTTTTTCATATTTGGTATGCCCACGTATGGAAAATGGTTGCCTAGCATATGAGAAAGTATGGGGAAAGTGAACCCCTCCTCCTCCCCCCTTGGGTTTTGTTTTCCTACTCATGGGAAAGTTTTAGAAAATGAGCCAATATTAAATGCACATTTTCATGATCATTTTATCATAATTAACGATTTAAAATTACAACATAGCATTAACTGCATTATTTTTTTATTTGATTTCATATGAATATAATTGAAAAATTAAACAGACTTTGTTTTACATTCCTACACAAACCAAACATGTAAAAAGAAATAAAGTGATATTTCCCAGATACTTTTCCAGGATTACCAAACATATGAAATTATTTCCCATCAAATCTTTTATGTGAACCCAACAGAGTCTTAGAGAATTGAATTGCATAAAAAGTAAGTAGAGCATAATGTTAAGGAAAAGAATAATATAGTCAAGACTAATGTCAAGTGAAACACAATAAACAAATTGATGACATCTACAAGCCAATCCAATTAATCAACACAATAAACACATTGATATGTACAAATTTAAGGTTAAAAAATTGTAATAAGTGAGGAGTACGTAGTTCCTTTTTGCTCTAGAAAGTAAGTTGGTTGGTTTTTTTTTTTTTTTTTTTTCTCTTGATCTTGGGATATGCTATAAATGCAATATTTTTTCTTTTCATTCAATGGAAATTAAGATATAGAAAAGGTATAATTTATAAAAGAAAAGAGGAGATTGCGGAAAAGAAAGGTGGAAAGGAGTTTTAGATTTAGGACAGTCAGTGCAGCGAAGCGCGTGCATTAAAGAGAGTGGGCAAGTAGGTTTCTATAATTGAAAACCAAATATGACCCACGTGAGCTTGGAAGGGACAGCTCATTGGAAAACCACACTTGTCTTGTATTTTGCGATCTGTTGAATGGACCTAAAACGCATTCCTTACCACTTGTTAATTTCCTACATCTAAAACCACACGCTATTATGAATCTAAAATATGGTAATATGATTTACCAAAACGACTCACTCTTATCTATATTAATACTATATAGAAATGAAGTGTGTGAAACATTTTTATTATTATAAATGTGGGATGCATAACTAAGAATGTTATATACGCTCACATATAGATGACAATAGCATTTTCTATGTTCAACAATGTCAAGATTGCTAGATTGCATTGTATATATAGCATTTGAGGGACGTATTTCGATCGTTTGTTCTATTATGCAATTATTGAGTTGCATATTAAAAATCAAAGGGTTATAGTAGAGATTTGTAGCATTATTTGCACCCGGTTTTAAAGTTCGACTCCCCATTCTAGCTCAAGTCCTCCCTCCAAGAATTAACACTCCTTCGTAACACGAAAGAGTTATATTGTATTTTTGAATGCTACTATTTTGATCAAAGAAGCAATATGAAAAACTTTATTTTAAAAACTGGAAGGAAAATGAATGGTTTTTGGAGAATTAGTGAATCTACTTGTCTTAAACATTATTGATCACATTTAATAAACAAAACCCATTATGATTGCCATGAAGCAATCGGCAGATCCAGCTCTAATCACTCTGGCAATTTCCAAAACTTCTAAACCGTTCCTCATATTGATCCAACAACTAACCTTCCATGAGAGCATATGAGATCCAATCCCAATAAAATTAACA